CCCAAGCGACCATATCTACACAGTGTCCTACAAAATCAGTTGTGTCCAACAAAATTCCCTCAAAATAGGAGGTTGTTAACATATTAAGAAATATTCAGTACAAATCGACATTTATTTAAAGGAACATATACTTAAACAGTCTATTATTTAAACTTGGAACATTCAGTACAGAGTCGTTCGAATAAAATCGCAAATCTATTATCGAAGTAAATTTTGGGGGAAGAATCGAAGACATGCAGTTGGAAAAATTTGGACCTTGAGATAGAATGGAGTACATACTGTCGTTCGAATGGAGCTTGAGGTTTGGAGGCGAAGCTTTACAGTTTACGCTTGTATGCAGGCGTGCGATATGCAAGTTTCAAAGGCGTGTGGCGTGTGGGTTCAAATGTTGCTACATCAATGAAGTCAGGGCATATGAAAAGGAGAGTGAAATAAAATGAAAATCGGAAGAAGGAGTCTTTTCGGTTGCTTTCCCCTCCATAATCGAACCTGTCATTGTATTAATTTTCATATTCTCCAATGCTATTACCACATCCATATTTTAAAAACACTACTTTCGAATTTTCAATCTTTTTTTTATTCATTTTCCGCTTTTTGAAATTTATTTGATATTTTTGTTAGTCCATTTTACATTTTGATTCAATCTTAATATTTTTTTATTTGAAAGTATGCATTTTTAACAGATTTTATCTTACAAATTTCAAAATTTCTAGATCTAGGTGTTATTTTAAAATTTTGAACTTTATAATTTTGATTCACTATCTTGTTTCTTAAAATTAAGGTATACTAAAGATTTGTTTTAAGGTTATTTTCATCACAAATTTGTAGGGTAATGTCAGGATAATTTTACCTATTTTGATGGGAGGGTATATTTGTCCACATAAAATTCTACAGTTCAACCCTAACCGACTTTTAGCCATTTTTATGATATCTGATTCTTTTGGTCATTCCTCAAATCGAATTATTTAATATAGCTACTCCTCTGGTTGCTCTTTTTTTTTTTTATTAAAGACAACACGTGCCTAAGGTAGCTTCTTTTCTTTTTGTGAAGAGCAGAAGAGAAATTTGAGGGCTGGGTTTTTCTCCTTATTCTAGCAAGCTAGAAAAGAAAAACAAAGAGGGTCATTGGTGAGAGAATGAGCCGCCGGTTAGTTTGTGAATAGTAGAAACTTTTGGATATATTTCTCACTAATGGTATTCATCTTGGTGAAGGTGGATTGATAGTTTTAGTGAGTTATATTGAGATTTTTCTGTTGTAATTTTTCTGCTCGTTGTTGTTGAAAAGACTCCATGTATTTTGTTGTTCTCTTGGTGATATGAATGAGATGGATGGGTCGTCACAGTGGTCGAGTAGATCATGTTGATTGAACCACTATAAATTAGTGTGTCATTTCTTCTCTCTTACTTGTTTACTTTGTTAAATTTATTTTTGAAACTTAGTTAGTTGTGATTATTTATTTTCTGAAATGTTGGTGCTGTTAGCATAAGTGGGAAATTCTCAACAAATGGTATCAGAACTTTGTTTGAGCATTTTTTACAGCAAGCTTTTATCATAAAATTTGGAAAGATTTTTATTGGTGAATCTTGAAAATGACTACTAAGTTTCAATTAGAGAAATTTATTGATGATCCAAAAAAATACCCAGCTGAAATGATGGAAGAAGAGAAGGAACAAATACTTGAGATGACGTTTAGTACAATGATTTTTTACTTGTCGGATAATGTCTTACGACAGGTTGATGATGCCACCAAAACCTTAGAGATATGGGAAAAAATGGATAAGTTATATCTTACAAGTGTTTGTCGAATAAGATATATCTCAAGGAGATTTTTTTTATTTTTTTAGGATGGATCCTTCAAAGCCATTAGATGCAAATTTAGATCAGTTTAACAAAATTGTTCTTGATTTAGCCAACATTGAAGAGAAAATGTCTGAATAAAATCACGTGGTAATTTTGTTGAATTCATTGTCTGATTTGTATAGAGAAATCAAGACAATAATTAATTAAGTGCGGTAGGGACAACTTAGATATTGAGATAATTCTAAATGTTTAAAAGTCAAAAGAACTTGAGATCAAGCTAGAGAAGAAGGATAGTGAACCACTGTATACTCAGGGTAGATCATAGAAGAAAAATTATAGCAAGCAAAGAGGGAAATCACAGTCAAAATCGAGAGTCAAACATAAGAAGTGTTACAATTGTTAGAAAGAATGACATTTTAAGAGAGTGAGAAAGAACAAACAGTCTAACCAAACAATCTAACCAAAAAAAGGTCGAGAGTGAGAGAGTTTAGCAAATATATTGGATGGTTATGATCAGTTGAGGTTTTGTTGGTTTCAGAAAATGAATGGTCAGATGATTGGGGTTTGCACTCAAGTTGTACTTTTCATATGATGCCTTCCAGGGAATACTTGAGTGACTTTAAACCACTACAAGCTAGAAAAGTTTATTTCGTTAACAATCAGATCTGTGAGATCAAAGATATTGGCACGGTGAGACGAGACTTCATGATAATTTGTGAAAATTTTGACTGATGTGAGGTATGTCTCTGACTTGAAAGGAAATCTTATCTCGTTTGGAACTTTAGATAAGCTTAGCTATACTAGCAAGATAGCAAATGATAAGATGAAAATATACAGAGGCTCACAATTGAAGCTAAAGGGAAAGCTAAAAAATGAGCTTTATGTGTTGAGTAGTCCGACGGTGTCAGGAAATCTCTCACTTGTCTCAGATGATATGGATAGAAATATTAGAGCTACAAAACTCTAACATACACATTTGGGCATGTTAGTGAGCAAGGCATGAAAGAACTTAATAATTAATAGATTTTAAACTTGAAGCTAATCAGTGATTTTCCTATTTGTGAACATTGCATCTTTGGCAAGTACAAGGGGTAAAATTCACAAAGGGAACACATTGCACGAGAGAAAAGTTTGATTATATTCCTGAAGACTTGTGGGGGCCAGCAAATGTGAGTACTCGTAGAGGAGCCAAGTACTTCTACCTATTGTGGATGATTATAGCATAAAATTGTGACTTTATTTCTTAAAGCATAAAAGTGAGAAAGTGTTGAAGTTCAGGGATTGGCTTATTCAGAATCAGAATGGGAAGAAAGTGAAGAAAATTAGGACTGATAGAAGATTTGAGTTTGTGAATTGAGAGTTTGATGAACTTTTCTTGAAGCATAGTATTGCTAGATACTTAACAGTTGGTTATACACTGCAACAAAATGGCCTTGTTGAACGCATAAATAGGACCATTTTGGAAATGGCAAGGTGCTTCCTATCTCAATCAAACTTACCCAAGTTGTTTTAGGGAGAAGCAACAACCACAACGTGTTATTTGATAAATAAAACGCATTCATCAACTGTTGAAATCAAAACGCCTGAGGAAATGTGGTCTGGAGTAAAACCAGACATTTCTCACTTCATAGCTTTTGGATGTACTGCATATGTTCACATAAATCTAGGCAAACTTGAACCTAGAGCTTTAAAATGTATCTTTATACGCTATCTAGAAGGAGTAACGGGCTACAAACTTTGGTGTTTGTAACCGAATATAAGCAAATGTATAATAAGCAAAGATGTTAAGTTTGATGAATGGAGTATGCATACTCATAATCTAAGACATATCAATAGAGGAAACATCTCAAGGCTTAGATACATCTGAGATTGAGGTAGAGCTCATTTCAATTCAAAGGCAAGTCACTTCTAACAACATACTAAGCACATCAACAAGTACTGAACCAGAAGTTAGTACTGGGCCTATTGATGAGGATGATGGCAGTGATCAGGAATCAGAAGCACAGGGGACTGAGCAGATTGATTTGAGTGATTATAACCTCGTTAGAGACAAGGTGAGAAAGACCATTAGACCACAGACGAAGTATGGTAAAGTAGACCTCGTGTAACGTTCGAGTAGATAGAAGGGGTACATGAATGAACCGATACTACATCTGAATGAGAGAGATCCTGAGATCATGGGACAATGTTTAAGAAATGCTTAAAAGAATTGATAGTCACCACATATACTAACAAGGTGCACTTTCCTTTTCGGTAACTCAATCGGAGAAGATTATAATGAAATATTCTCACAAGTTTTCAGACATGATAAGGGGGATAATAGCTTTGACTACCCACTTTAATCCTTACCTCAAGCAAATGGATGTCAAATATTAGCTTTGACTACCCATTTTGTTGTTGTTCTTGGTGATATGAATGGAATGAATGGGTCGTCACAGGATGTAGATCATGTTGATCAAATGGCCACTCTAAATCAGTGTGTCATTTCTTCTCTCTTACTCATTTACTTCGTTAAATTTATTATTGAAACTTAGTATATATTATATATTTTCTGAAGTAGGCGTTGTTAGCATAAGTTGGAAATTCCCAACACCTTTATACCAAGCTTCAATTTGAGGGTGGAGGTTGGATTTCATCCACGTCCAAGTTTTGACTGCTTCAACTCTATTCAACAATGAAGGTGGGTTATTGTAATTAATTATTAACTGTATTTTCTAATTTAAGCCCGACTAGCCGAATGAAAACGCTTGGTGGATTATGAAGCGTGAACTCAGGAGGGAGTTGTGGTTTGAAGTATGGAGCTAGCAAATGGGGAGTTCGGTGGAGATCATAAATACTCCCAACTCCACATTTATTAGGCATCCAATAAAAACCTATTTTTAAATTTAAGGACTAAAAATGTATTTTACCTTTAATTATTAAATAAGTTACAAGTTCAGAAATTTATTATAGGCGCTTTTTAAAAGTCATGAACTACTATTATATTATAATATTATAATGTAACAAAAGGACAAGAGCAAGATTCTTTTTAAATATGAACTTAAACCAATGATATGAGATTCATACGAAAAAACAACAATTTCCTTTGACAATTCCCACCAATAGTAAAGAAGAAGGAAAAACAAAAACAAATGGGGGCAAAAAAAAGTTAATTTCTCAACCAAACTTCATGAAGAACCAACATTCTATACTTTCCACTATGAAATTAGCAAAGAAACACACATAAGTTTTATACTTAAAATACACAAATTCATCTCTCTAAGGCAATGAGTGTAGCAAAGCAATTTCTTGGTCACACCTATTACAAATAAATATGTGAGGGACTTGTTGGTCATTTGGTATTTGAACACACCTTGTATGCTGCCAAATTTCACAAATATCACAAGCCACCATCCTCTCCCCATCATCTTCCACAGCTCCACAAACACACTCCATAATTCTCTTCTCCATTCCCCCATTGTTGAAGAACAAGCAGCTAATTCCTTGATCTCCATAATTTCCCTCAAACACCAACTTCCCACCAACTTCCACCAATCCAAACACCAAATCCTTCCCTTGTGCCTTCAAATCCACAATCCCTTCCACTACAAAGCTCCTCAATCCCCAATAGATTTCTCTCATGTTCCTCTCCACGTCCTCCTTTAGCTCATCAATGGTGCCATTCTTCTTCATTGCAATGCACTCATATGGAAGTGTTGTTGTTGCTTCTTGGTGCTTGAATCTAACCGTGCAGAAAAGGTTCGATTTCCCTTCGATTTCTAGCTCGGGCATCGCTGGTGGCTCGCCGCTGTACTCCTTGACGAGGAACTTTGAGTCGAGGATGATCTCGGAAGCCATTGTTAGAGTGGGAATAATTCCTTTGGCCTGCAGCGGCTTCTGGTCTCCAAGAATGTATCGGTAGAGGTTGAAGATGTCCTTCGCTAGCTCAGCTCTCCCAACCTTGCACCTTTGTTCAAAGAAGATTAAATTTAGGGTAAACTTATCTAAATTTTGAGCTTTTTGGAATTAAGAAGTTTTGTGTTCGAATTCTTAAGAATGCGTCAATTTCTCCTCGATTAAATATCGATAGTAACCTTGCTAATTAAGTCCACAAGTGAAGGAGAATGTGAATAATGTAAATAGAAAAGATTAGGGAAAAGTTCCATTATTACCCTGATTTCAAGGTTTTAAACATTCATTTTTATCAATTTAAATCCTAAAATTGAGTAAGCATTAAGACTAATACATTTTCAAAACTAAATTAGAAACTTGTCTATCAAAAAACTAATAATTGATACAAAATTCAAGTTACAGACCTTCCCACACAATCATATATATGTGTAAAAAACACTCGAATTATAACACTCAACATCAGCTCAAATCCATGAAAATACTCCACTAACCTAGCTACACAATCATGTTGATAAGAAGAAAGAAAACACTAAAAAGTAGCAATATAATGCACAAATCCAACTAATAAACGCATCCAAACCTAATCGGAAGAATTAATACAACAAAAAAGAATAGTCTCAAATAAAAATTTAACTAATTTGGGAGAATTAATTGCACTTCTCATCCATATCCAAATGTAGAGTATCAATTACACCACTTATTCACGACAAAAAATTATAATAACCATTTCGTTTTTTTGTCTTCTACTTTGAAAAAACATTACTTTGGTCTATGTATTGGTTTGTTTTATTATATAATTTTTATTGATAATTTGAAAATAATTATCAAGAGCAGGTTAACATATACCTGGGTTTCATGTGAACAGCACTACAAACGTCTTGCAAGCAATATTCAAGAACTTTGGTGACCGGATTCAGCGTTCGCCGGACCAAATAATTTCCGACCACATGGTTTCCCAGCGACTTCAACACGAAGTCCAGCAGACCCGTGTCCCCAATGTACATGCGGGCCGCATCGCGCACCTCCTGCCGCGACACCCACCGGAACTCGGCCCGCTTCAGCGCCTCGACGATCACCCGCACCGCCATCTCCACCCTCTTCGGCGACCACCTGCAGGAGGCCTCGGGCAGGAACCCGGCCGAGTTATGGGACTCGGCCGCGGCGTGGAGGCCGAGCACGAAGCGGAGGAGGTCGCGGAGGGTGAGGAGAGGGTGGTCGGAGAGGGAGTGGTACTTGGAGAGGATGGGGGGCAGAATGTGGGGATGGGCGGCGGCGATCGCGGCGACGGGGAGGCGTTGGAGGGCGGAGAGGGCTTTTTGGTACATTTGGAGAGTGGCCGAGAAGGCGGCGCGGTGGAGCTTGTAGCCCCAACGGCCGAACCATGGGTGGCCATGTGCTACGCCGTGGAGGAGCCTTAATTCCATGCCTCGCTTCTGTGAAATGTCCCTCAAACTCACCTTCCTATGCCAAATTTCTCATATATAAAACATATGGATATGTCAAATTTCTCCTCCAAAACAACTCAAATAAGTCTTTTAATTTAGAAACCAAGGTTTAAGTATATGATAAAAGGTCCGGTTTGGTAACTATTTTACTTATTATTTTCTGTTTTTTAAAATGACGATGATTTTAGTCAAAATATAAAATACTTAAGTTCTGATTAGTGAATACCTATCAATAAAGGGTCACCATAAGATAGATGTAAGAAGTTAAGTAGTTTCAATTTCTTAATGGATATGTTCTCACGTTTCTTAAAATAGACATTTAAACTCTTATCTGACTTTCGAACTACTTCTATTTAGTTTTAGTTAAGAATTTGAAAACAATTTCAAAATGCAGATTCAAAATAAAGAAAATACATGATTGAAAGTAGTGTTTAATTAATTTTCTTCAAAAGATAAAATAAAAAACAAACTAATTATCGATAAGGTCTTACCGATTATAATAAGATTTAAACCTCATGTCTCATTTACTTATTACTAGGAATGGAATCGGTGAAACGAGAGACCAAAAATTTTCATTTGCAATGATATATATTGATTACTAGAATCGAAGAATGGAATATAATCAATGGGTATTGAAGTAATCTCATTTATATTGTAAAATCTCATCCATCTCCTTCTCATTTCTTATTCCATAGAACCCACCACCTATCTATTAATTTCTTTACAACTCTTACCATTTATCATCTCTAAGCAGTACTTAGTTGCTTAACCATCTTTTGTTGACCACTACTAAAATTTTTAACAAGTAATAGAGAGGAAAATTAAAAAAAAAAAGAAATCTTTTTTTCTCAAAACTAAAGAGCACTCAAATTTTTGTTCGTCAACACGAAGATGAGTGCTGATGCTAAGTATTTTTCTTTATTTCTCGTCTTTGTTCCGTGGAACCAACAACTTTTTCACGAATTACTTGACAACTATCTTTCTCTCTCAATCTATTATTAAAAACAAATAAACTACATAAAAAAGAAGAGTTGGTGTGATAAAAGAAATTGAAATAAATAAATAGGAGGCTCTAAGCCCTAACCTTGCTTTGAGTGCATTGCACAAGCGATCCCAAAAGTCCATGACGAGGTAGCCAGGCAAAGTAGAGCCCATTTCTAGTCCATTTAGGCTCAGCAAATGCCCAAATCCATTGGAATGGAACACCCCATGAAGAATATGGCCTTCCAATTCCACCAGCCTCAAGCTCAAGCTCAGGCTCAGCCTAGGATTACTATTGTTTGAACAAGAAGATGCAGCCATCATCGTCTCCTTTGATGGCAACACAAAGTGGTACTTCTTATTGCATATCATATGCTGCCCCCAACCTGAAACAACTTACCGTTTTAGAATCATATTACGTCGTAAATAAAGGATGAAGATTCAAATCCGCGATAGAGAACAAATGAACGGTAAATAAGATAACAGTTTGTTTACTACCTCGTGAGTTTGATACTTCGGGTTGTTTTTCGTTTCCACCTTCTTTTATGTTTTTGAGACGATCGTGAAGTTCGAGTATAGTTTTGATTCTGTACTTACAATTATTTAAAACAAGTATCATTTTTTTGCCCCGCCGTTCTTGAAGTTCTTATCTTTTCGACGAATTTAAATAAGTTTGGTGGCTATTTTTGTTGGTGTTGGTTCTTTTAGTTGTGTTGGCTAGTTGAACTGATTGATTTTGGTTAAGTTAGAGTATTTTGGTAGTTAGGTTTTAGCAATTTTATGGCTTATCTTAGGTGTTTTGTTCATTGAATGTTTTCTGTCACACAATTTTTAAAGTGTTCTCTCTCTCCCTCTCCTTCCTCAATGCTCTTGCAAACTTTTTAGAGAAGCTAAGCAGGGAGCTCTGAATAGAAATTCTTTTTTCGCACCATTATTGAACGGTAAGATCGAGCTGTTAACTTTAAAATAGTAATTAAAAGTTCGTTTGGTAATGTCTATTTCTTGCTTTTAGAGTAGTTAAGTGGAGAGCTCTCAATAGAAATTTTCTTTTTTCGTTCAATAAGTGTACGATACAAATCGAACTATTAATTTTAAAGTAGTAATTAAGGATTTGTTTGGTAATGTCCATTTCTTGTTTCTTACTTTTCTATGGTCATTTTTAAAAAATATAAATATTTGGTAATTTTTATTGGTTTTTTGTTTCTTATTTATATTCTTGAGCTCAGCCTAAATTTTTCTAGAATTATGTACACTTATGGTCTAATTTATACACTTCTTTTAACCAAGTTAATTCTAAGGCCTAATTTGTAAAATTGTGTAAGTTTGAAGGGTTTAATTATTAAAATTATAATTCGGAGGTTTTAAATACTATTTTGATCCTTATTTTGTCAGCTTTTGTTCAATTTGGTCTACCTTCTTTGAAAATGCCAATTTTAGTTTATGTACTTTCAACTTCAATTCATTTAATTTTATGTACTTTCAAAATGTTGATAATTCCTGTGTACACAATTTTAACACATATTATATACACAATGGAAACTATTTATTACAAAATTATAGCTACATTTCAATAAAATTTCTTGCTCATACTATCATGAAATTGTGATTAAAAAATTAAATTGACTAAAAACAATCGTTTTTTAAAGTAGCTATATAAACTAAAATGGACAAAAGCTAAAATTACAAAGAAATTAAAATTAACATTTCCGATGTATGTATCGGTATCAAAATGAGCAAAAATAAGGATTTATAGAGATAAAAATAGTATTTAAACTAAATTTGGAAAACTAACTACTTCGTGGGTTCACCCGGCCGTTACAAACATAGACCAAAAACGAAGCACACAATGATGAAACAAAACATGTTCACAAAAACAAAAAACAAACGCAAACAAAGATTACATATATCTATCTTTGGAAGCTTACCAACATACTGGCAGTCTTTACAATGCCTCCCCGCCGGCGGCGCCGCCTCGACCGGCTCCTCCACGACAAACATCACGATGTGGAAAGGCGGCTGCCGCTGGACCTGCAGCTGGAACGACCAGCTCTGCAGCCCTCCAGCGCAGTCACCACTCTCCCACCGCCCGAACCCAAGCAGCGCCACCACATTCTCCCGGAACCGCCCGACGAACTCCACCGGATACCCGTTCTCCCCAAAGCTCTTGAACCTGAACACCTTCTCCCCTCCTCCGCCAGCGCCTCTCCTCCTCTTCCTGCCGATCGCCTCCGCCATTGCTGCCGCCCCGAAAAGCGCAGCCGGAACCGTGCATTTATAAGGGAGTCCAAAGGGGTTTTAAAAGGCACGGTGGTGGTCCGCATGAAGGGGTTTGGAAGGGTCTAAATTATAGGGGGCATGCTTTTGGGCAAGGTGGGGAATTTTATTGTGTCGCCATTAGAAAATGGAAAAAGCTCCGGCAAATTTTGAGGTCAGCTGGGAGAGATGATGGATTTTAATTATGTTTTTTTAGATATAATTTAAACGCAGAGTTTCTTGGCTAACTACCCTATGAATCGCCCATTTTATTTAACACTGTGATCTGGTTTTTGTTTGTGTATGGGGAGATGCATGTGTGAATAGTATAAGTTTTTGCACTTCTAAGCTTGGATTGAGTGTGTGTTTGGCAGCCTTTTGGGAAAAAAAAAGGTGTTTTTAGGAAGGAGTGATTGTTTTTAAAGCACTTTTAGAGTAAAATGAGTTTAAAATGCTTCATTTGAAAGCATTTTTGAGTGATTTTCATTTGTTTTTAGAATTTGTGGTATCATTTTTTTATTATAGTGGGAATTTTGAGGAGTGGTTTTAAGGGGTTAAAAGCATCCGACGCTTTTAAAATTTTAAGAAAATATTACCAATTTTTATGGAAAAATATTTTTAGTCGTCTATGGATACTTTGAAAGGTAATTCTAGTTTGATATCCATGTACTAAGGGTATGTTTGAGAGTGGTTCCAGTTGTTTTTACAGCAAAAATAGTTTAATAATTATAATTACTATTGTAAAAAATTATAATAAATCATTTTAATGTTGGTTTCTCACTTTTAAAAATGATTTTAATATTAATAAAATTATTTTTTTAATGATTCATATTTGCGTTGAAGAGTTTTTTTTTTTAACCATGAAATTACAAAAAAAGAGTGTTACATTTGAGAGAAAAAGATGTATATATATATATTTTTTTTGACAAAGTTTGAGGGAAAAGAATTAAAGGAGAGACAAAAATTATAGAGAACGAAGTTAAGCAGTTAGTGATAATTTAATAGAGATCGGAAACTAATATAATTAGAGGGGAAAAAAAAGTTAAAAATGGAGAGGTACCAAAATTTTAAAGAGAGAAAAAAAGTTAGAAAATGAGAGAAACATTTAGTGAGAAAATTAGATAGAAACAAAAAGAATTAGCAAGAGAAAAAAAAAATTGAAAGAGAGGTAAAAATTTTAGAGAGAGACGGAACAAAAAATAGACAAAAATTTTGAGAGTAAAAAAATAATGTAGACGAGAAAAAAAAGTTGGGAAGTAACCCTTTTCCGACGAAAAAGATTTCGGCTCTACTTCTGAAAGTTTTCAGAACGTTTGCTCGTGTCATTTTTTTTTTTTGTGAAATTAAACATTAACCTTTATTTTTTCTTTTAGTTTCTCTCCTCGTAAGTCCAATCTCCCGTACAAGTATACATGTGTGTTGGGAATAACTAATTCCTAGTAAAACAGAAATATTTTCTTGTTAAAATTAGTTTATCTTAAATTTAGAATATTACTAATTTTAACTTTATTCCTTACTAATTTTAAAACCACTCGAATAGAAACTTGTTTCTAAATCTTAGTTTGGTTTTAAATTATATTTTTTTCTTTCTGTGGTTTTAATAGTTTATGGGTAATTATAGTGTCTGTTCCAACTCCTAGGTACGAGTGCACGTCTCAAGAGTTGCTATGTTAATTTTGGGGGGCGAACGGTTGAATCTCGATTGTACCATGGTCGAATCGGAATTTCACTTTCAGGACCGTTGTTTTATACAAGGCACAGCATAATTTCAATTCATATTTTCTAATTTTTCCAACAATCTTAAAGCGAAATTATTGAATTGAAATTTCTTAAATTTTATAGTGTTATGAAATGTCATGATGTTTTCGATTTCCTTGATTGATCATGGTGAAAACTGGATTCTCCCTATAAAAAATTTGGCTAAACGCTCGTTTTAAAACTCTAAAAAATTTATCAATATCATAAATCTCTATCTCCAAAATCAGAAACACGTTATCATTTAAAATGGGATAAAATGTACCACGAAAAAATCTTATTTATTACAAACAAGAATATGGTTGGTTGGTTTGATTCTATGAAATACAACTCGGTTATAATTAGAATTGAAGAAAAAAATCTTCAAAATTTATGGAGATATGATAAATTTTATAAAAAGAGCCACATTTTATCTCTCTCTACAAATAGTATTTTATTTCTTTAATATTTCCCTCCCTATTCCTCACACCTCCTCTCTTTTTAAAAGTCCACACCAACGCCTCTCCCTCAAAACTATCGCACACCTCCCTCCCTCCCTTCACTCTCTCTCAAAACTATCGCCCACCTCTCTCACTCCCTCCACATCTTTTGCTCTCCACCTCTCTCACTCCCTCTGTTCCGGGCGGCAATCGAGAAAAAACGAGATCTAGATCTGATTGAGTGAGAGCGAGATCTAGATCTGACCGAGTGAGAGCGAGATCTCACCGAGCGAGATCGATAGTGCTACTCCAACGACCAGCTTCGTTTTCCTTTTTCAGGGTGGCGTCACTGACGCCTCGCCAGAGAATATGGTTTTTATTTTTATTTTTTGAAATCAAATGCTTAAATCATATTTCATTGTCCAGATCTTTACCATTCAACTGCCTCTACATTTCGAGCGCCTTCAAGGTGAGTTTGGAGACCTTCCTAATTTTGGTATTAACATTTAATAATAAAAAAATTAAGGATTTATTGTTATGGAAAATTTACGGATGAATATTGTTTTAAAAAGTTTTAATGTTGATTTTGGGTCTTGTAAGTTTGGAGACACTATAGGGGTCTGTTATTTTTATCAAAATATTATTTATACAAAAATTATAATTAATAGAATTTTAACGAAAGAGAAAAGGAAGTAAAAAAAAAAATGAAGAGTCATAGAAGAGAGGAGAGGGAAGAAGAGGAAGAAAGAGAAGAGGTGAGAGAGTAGAGTAATTGGAAAAGGGCCCATCTTGCTGATTTCCCAGAAATGTTACATATGGGTACACAAATATTTTTTTGTCCATGTCTTTCTAACTTTTTTCCTCTCCAAAATTTTGTACTTTTAAGTTAAAAAGGGAGAGGTAAAAAAATTTTGAGAGAAAAAAAAAAGAAGTAAGAAAGAAAGACAAGAAAGAAAGGAGAGAAGGAAAAAAAAAAGATTGAGAAAAATTATTGAAACGAATTTGATAAAAAAGAAAATTAGAGTGAAAAAAATATTTGCTTATAAATATTCTTTTAATTTTCTAAGAAATATTTATGGATATTGACGTCGATATTTTAGAGATATTTTCATAAAATTAAAATCTCTACATTAAGTTAAGTTATAAAATCTTGGCCAAAAATTGTTAGTTTATTAGATTCTAAACACTTTATTCATTAACAGAATATTAGTATCAATGGATTGGCTTCATGATATTAGAGCAAATCTGACCTATCTTATTGAGATCTTTTTTTTTTTCTCCTTTCTTTTTTGGTAGTCAGTAAGTGCAATCAAATTGTTGCAGCTTCCTCGTGTTTGTGTTTGCAATGGAGTCAAATGTTGTCGCTTCCTCATCACTTGTGCATGGAGTTCCAATCTCTCTTCTGGCACACATCTACACGCGCGGGTCTCACTTATACTTGATAGATCGAATTACATCCTTTGTCATTTTCAGATTACTCAAATCTTCAAAGCACACTCCTTATTTGGTTTTATTGATGGTACTCTTCCCTGTCCAAATAAAAAGATTGAGGAAAATGGTGTCAAATCCCTCGACCCAAAACACTATAAGGGGTTAACAGAATTGCTTAGGAATTTGTAGATTTTAAATATTAAATTAAGGAATAACAATGGATCGAATAAAATTTAAATGCACAAATTAAAAAGGTATAGAAATAGAAAGAGATAACATTAGAAATTTTTTACAATGGTTCGGAAATCCCTACTCCACACCCCAAGACTTATTCTTGGGTATTTTAGTTCAACGGCTTTCTTGCAAGTGAGAACTAAACCAATCAACAACTCTTTTTGTGGGCTAAAGAGCAAATCCTCTAACGATCCTTTTGTAGGTTTAGGACCAAACCTATGCGATCTTTTTCATTGATTCAAGATCAAATCATTAGGATCATTTTTATTGGTTCAGGATCAAACCATTCTCACAATCCAATTAGGTACACCCGCACATATATACAAAATCCCAAATGAAGTAAAAATAAACAATACAAATAAAATGTCTCACAAAGGTGAATTATACAATATCACTCAGGTACATAGACTAGGCTTCCACCCTAGTGTATCTCTCACAATAACAAAAATCAGCAAATTTTGATATATGAGAGAATGAAAATTTAGAGATTTTGGAGAGCAAAAATTAAGGAGGAGAAAGCTAATTTTGCTTGATGAATTGGTGTCGAGAATGATGAATTTGATTACTTTAAATAGAGTTTCGAGGATGAATCTTGGCCATTGAATTTAGAGCAAAATTGAATGAATGGTTGAGATTAACAAGAAAGATAAGGAAAAAGGAATAAGGAAAATTTGGAGAAATTGGTGGAGTTGAGAAAATTGTAGGAATTTGATTTGTGGAGATTGGAAGTGTCAGATGTTGTCTTCTCAATTGTTTCATTTTTAGATGCCACCTTAGCATAATTATGTCTTATTGATGTCACATGTCAACTTATGAGTGGTCCATTTGTCCATGTCACCTTTATGAGTGGTCCACTTGTCCATGTCACCTGCCACGTAGAGTGTTTTTTCTCATGACTTATTTTGACTATAACTTCTTTGTTTGAACTCCGATTTGAGTGATTCGATAGACGTTGGAATCGTCATTCCAAGCTCTGCACTATGAACACTTTGAAATAATAAAATTATTAGTGAATAAAGTTTGTTATCATCAAAACATATGTATGATTGTAGCTCATAAAGCTAACATAGCACACTCAAGATCATGCTCTCACCACTCTCATCAATGTCACCTTATCCCAGATGACATTGTCTCTTGTGGTTT